TAACCACAAAAAATCTATCATGGTTCGCTGCGAACCGATTATGATTTATTGAGAAATATATATTATCTTAACTAGCCGGTCGCTTTTTTGATAACTTTTAATACTACCACTTATCTAATTTCACTGCCGTTTTGAGGTGAACGTTGCCTAAACCTTTCTTAATACCTCTTACTATAAACCTACTGTCCACTCTGTCTGTGCGTCTCCAAATACCTAGACCTTAATGATAATTGCTAAAAAGCACAAAACAACGTAGCATACGGATGGTCATTGTTGCAGAGACTGAAAGCACGACGGATCGTAATACTACCTACTACGGTCCAAAATGCGGCAGGAATAGCACTGTCTGCCAACCTTCAGGTCCGCCCCTGACGCGCCGCCCATGCTTGTTGTGCAGCTCGCCGGGAGCAGCAAATCGACGTCTGGCCGGTCGGTTCAACCTAAAGAGCGATAGACTCGAACGTTGACGCCGACATGGGTGGAGGGGGGAAAGGGGGGAAAAGGACGCGGTACCGCCGACGCGAATCGTCGGTTCCCCTTTAGTTTGCCCTCTAATCGACCTTGCGGGCGCTGCGCTGACTTGGCTCGGCTCCGGCGGCCGAACGAATCGCCGCACGACTTTGGTTTGGTACTACTATTCGAAAGCGTGAAACGACAGTGCTGCAGTCGCAACACGTTCATTTGTGTACAGGATCATCTCGGATTACGTACGAAGTTGCACCAAATGACGTCGAGTTAGTCGAGGTTAACGAACAGATGCAGTCACTGCTTTTATTACCGTCTGTATGAGGTGATTATGCGGTAGGTACGGCACTTCAGAGCTTTAGTGAATATTTTAAGTGAAACTTTAAGACAGAATTTTTTACCTATTTTATTTCTTAGTTTTGCCTCACGTTTTTTCTGTGATTGTTTTTATGTAAACGCCGCATTTGTTAAATAGTAAGTTTTTCATGACATTATCTTGTACTTTGTATAGAAACAGATGAAATAAATATCTATACTGAATATTCTGTTGAATCATAGTGCAAGCAGCTTTCGGAAGTCATTACGTTTGTACTTCCGTATATAAAGCAGAACGTGGTTCCCTCACCTCGTGGGTGTAACGCACGACGGATTGTTTGCCTCTGATGAACACCAAAGGTTACCTGCTTCTAAACATACAGGTAAACAATAACAACCTCCAATAAAATAATTTCAACAGTGTGGTACACACACGTTGCCCCAGAAAATTTAGAATCTCGTCTTTCACCTCATCGCCTTCTCAGCCTTGCTTGACCATCATGCATCTCCAAACAGAACCTGTATTCATCACTAAGGAAAATGATATTCCATTTGAGGTACCCTGTTCAGCCGTTTTTGTACTAAGCCCGTCGATCACTTCGGTGTCTAGGAGTAAGAGGTAAGAGTAAGATGACAAACTGAGAACGGTGTGGAGTCTGCTCATACGGCGATAAATAATTCGCATTGTAATAGGCTTTCCGTGCTCTCAAAATCATTGTTCCGCAATTGACCTTGTACCTCTACCTTTTCATACAATACAATACAATACTTTATTGGTGTTAGTGTACATACTGTACTTACACACGTCAGTTCGTAACAATATGTTTATGGTATACATAGATAATAATCTTTTTATCCACCTTTCGGATGACAAATGTGTATACAGGACTTAGAAGTTGAGTCATTTATTTTAACAGTGAGTAGATCTGATCAAAAGAAATGTTTTTTCCTTTACCATTTTTCTGGTAAAATTAAAGTAACAAAGTTATAGCCCTTTGGAAGTTTGAGTACCGCCCTGTCTCAATAATATCATGTGCTTGTGTTTGGCAACAACGGATATAATCCACCTTATCGGTTCATCGCATCGGAAACAAAAAAGCGAAAGAATTTGGAACGAGTTTTTTACAATTATTTCATTCAGTTCAGTTATACATACAGTCAGTGTCAGTCGCGTGTGAATAGTGTCTGTTGCGTGGCTCAAACGAAATAAAAAATGGCACATGTTTATGCGGATCGGTTTCCCAATCGAGTGCAACCAACCCCTCGTGCCTTTGTTAATGTAGTACAACGGGCTCGTGAATCAGGTGACTTAAGACCTCACAGGGGACCTCACGATCAAATACAGGTCCGCACTGAAATACTTGTCGGGAGGATACTTTACCAAACAAGGTAAACATTTTTTTTTATTTTTACACACATATTTTGGTTTATCTTCCTTCTACAATCATTATCTGAAAATTAATGACTCAACTTCAAAGTCATATAATAATATATAAAAAGGTACCGTGAAGTAATAAAAATTAATTTAAAAAGCAATAACAGATACAGCACATATCAAAATTTAAAGTCCAAGAACTCATGGTATGCATAAAAAGCATTTTCAGCAAGGAAATTTCTTATTGTCCGTTTAAAGGCATTTAAATTTAAGGATCTGATTTGCAGCGGTAATTTATTGTAGTATTTGGGTGCAGTAATTTTTAAACTTTTCTGGCTTTTCGTTAATCTTACAAAAGGAATATTTAAGTTCCCCGCACTACTTGTATCATAGTCAGTATGTGAGGTATGCGAACAGCAGTTTAAATACTGTTTAGCATACATCAGTGCTTCATAAACATATATCGAAGGCAATGCGAGTATCCTCAATTCTTTGAATGCTTGTTTGCAATCCTCAGTATAATTCAGTGAATACAATATCCTAATTGCCCGCATCTGTAAAGAGAATATTCGATGCCAGTCCGCACCCTGACCCCAAACTAAGATACCATATGATATCAAAGAGTGGCATAGAGTAAAGTAAACTGACTTCAACGTATCACTATTCAACTCTTACGATAAGCTTCTAAGTAGATAAATGTTTTTTCTTAGCTTTTTTGCTGTTTCATTACTGTGTATGTCCCATTTCAATTTCTTATCTACGTTTATACCTAGAAATTTTGTATGTTCTGTATGTAGTGTTTCTGGATCTTTCAATGAGAATATCATATTAACTGTCTTGTATTCATTCAGGGTCAGCTTATTTGCATTAAACCAGTTTTTGGCAGTCGACTGTGCGATCACACCTTTCTCAAGAAGCTCCGAAATGTTTTTTGATCTAACAGAGATGGCAGTGTCATCAGCAAATAGTATATAATTTCCATCTTTGTGGCTCGGCATATCATTGATATATATTAGAAATAAAATCGGCCCAAGAACTGAGCCCTAGGGTACACCGTGTTCAATATGCTTTTCATCTGACGTTTTAATTCCGATTTTTACTAACTGTTTTCTATTTGTTAAATACGAATTGATTAGGCTGCAAGAAGCTGTTCCGAAGTTATACATACTGAGCTTTCTGATTAAAGTGGTATGTGACACACAGTCAAATGCCTTGCTTGTACCACCTTCCCGACATCAAATCACTGCCGTATTTAGACTTATCGTCGCTGGAAAGACAAAGAGGCTAACTCCAATTTTGCTATTTTACAGGAGGCGCGATTACGCCCGTTTGTTCTTTAAGCACTAGTAAGAATAGGAGAATAGGATTTCTCAAATGGGCATTTTCCGATTTACGCCCCTTTGTCTTTCCAGCGACGTTATGTGGTTGCTGTATTCCTAAAGGACCAACCAGCCTCACACAAGCCCACTATCCGCCCCTTATCAAACTCGCTAAGCAGTTGATATTTTTGTCATCTTCTCACTCTGGGCATAATGGAAAAATTAAAGCAACAAACATGGGAATCTGTGTAATAAATTAATTATTACTGAGTGTACTTTTTTCTATGTCAGTATATTAAAGTCCACCATGGATATCCCCTCCCACGCCCGAGTGCCGTCGATTCAAAGGGTTCCCTATACTATAGAGTTAACATTCAGGCGTAGGATCATAAGACGGGTGCTCTTGTCGTCGGACTTGATTCCTGCCATTGTGTTGAAGTGGTGTGTTGGAAATTTGCTCATCTCCAACCCATCCCAAAAATGGGATCTAAGACCGACCCTTACAACTACAGGCCTATAGATCTGCTTTCTGTTTTAAGTACGGTGATGGAGAGGTGCATAAATCGCGAGCTTCTGGACGACCTTAAACTTCACTGCTTGATTAGCGGTAGGCAGTATGGTTTCCGGCAATAGCGATCCACAGGGGTCCTCCCAGCTTCCGTCACGCAATTGTGGAGTATACTTATCCAGTTTTATGATGAGGCTCATGTTGTTGTTGTTGATATCACGGAAGCGTTCGATCAGCTGTGGCAGGCTGGCCTCTTATGCGAACTTTCATCCTATGGCCTCCCAAAGAAGCTTTGCAGGCAGGTGTCTGATTTTCTCTCTGGCCGCAAGATAACTCTCTTCATCCCACAAAGGCAACGCAGGTGTTCTCCAGAGATCGGTCTTGGCTCCGAAACTGTTCCTCTTAGATATCAACGACCTCCTTTCCTGTACGGCCAATCCAATCCATAGCTTCGCTGATGACTTCCTCTCTGACGAGAGTCCTGGAGGTTATCACTGACTGGAGACGCCACAACCTTGTACAGGTTAATGCTTTGAAAACACAGTGCTACATTGACGAACAAAAAGTGCCTTGGCGCTCATCCGGTTTTGATGGATGGCCGAGTTCAGATCAGCGAGGACTTGATCTGACACGAAAACATATCGTCAATAGCGGCAGCTGCTGGGAAAAAGCTACGCTGTTTGTTTAGGGCTGCTTCGGTGAAAAAAAATATTAACCCATTTTAACACGTTGAGTGCGCATGACGCACTGGTGCGTCGACCTGCGTATTCAAGCCACGCGCATGACGCACCGGTGAGTCAGCTACGCCGTTAAACATAACCGGCAGTAGTATTTCAGCACTTGTCGAGAGGAAACTATTACGAACGGAGCACGTACAGAAAGGTTCAGTTTACGTTAAATTGACGTAGTTTCAAAATTTGATTATCGGTTATTTGATTATACATAGTGAATCATGAGTGACCCAAAGCTTGTGTGAAGCAAGTACTTCAGGTACAAAAAGACGTAAAATTCAAGTCAGAAATGAGAATAACCTTACAGATGAAGGACTCTTACGTATTCTTGAAGATTCGGATTTCGACTTGGATGATTCCGAAATCGAAGGCTCTTACATCCCCAGTGACCTTGATTCATCTTCAGAGGACGATTACGGTAAGATTTCTATTAAACATATTTTTTGTATCAGTGTGATAATATAATAATTTTTGTTTTAGATATACCTACTAATGATGATACTGTTGTTCCGCCTGATGACTCTAATGTAACAACTGCGCCTGACGATTTGAATGAGGTTTGGAGCGATACTTGTGCCGGAATGAAGGACATTAATTTTACAAAAACACCCGGTTTCCTGATTGAATTTCATCTATACGCAAGTCCTTATGATTATTTTAGATTGTTATTAGATGATGATTTACTGGAACTTATTGTCGATGAAACAAATAAATATGCGGAAACTATTTTCCTCAGCGAAGGAGCTGTGACCAATTCACGAATATCTCGTTGCAATTTATAGGACTTACGTTTCAAACAGAAACCATCAAATGCAATGTTTTGAAAGATTATTGGAAAACGCACTGGCTGTTTGAGATTACATGTTTTTCAAGACATATGAGCCGAGATCGTTTTTTTCTCATTTTGCGAAGTTTGCATTTTGCTGAAAATCCTGGTGTAGGTGAAAATGTGCCTGAAGATCGTTTATACAAAATTCGTCCGCTGCTAAATTACTTTCAAGGCAAAATGGCAAGGATTTATTATTCCAATAAAAACTTCTCTTTAGATGAATCAATGTTGCTCTGGAGGGGGAGGCTTGTCTTTAGACAGTACTTGAAAAATAAACGACATAAATATGGCATAAAGCTATATATGCTTACGGAATCCGATGGTCTAATCATGAATTTAATGGTATACACAGGACAAACAGATGCGAATGGAGGAGTTGGACATACAGCAAGGGTTGTCTTTGATGAGAAATTACCTAAATGCTGATCATGCTGTATTCATGGAAAACTTCTACAATAGTTATAGCTTAGCAAAAAAGTTACTTGAGGTGAACACTTACTGTACGGGGACCCTGAGAGCCGGAAGGATGGTGTTATGATTGGGAAGTGGAGAGATAAAAGGGACGTGTTGTATATATCTACAGAATTCAAGAACGACCTAATTGAAGCGCAAAATAGAAGAAATGTGACAAAGGAAAAGCCGTTACCTGTAGTGGGGTATAATAGATACATGAGCGGCATAGACCACATGGATCAGATGATATCATACTACCCCTGTGTTCGGAAAACGTTGCGCTGGTATAAAAAACTGGGGATACATATCGTCGTCCGTACCGCAAACAGGCGTAACTGATTTTATATAAATTTTCAGTAGAAGCAAAATGAATATCGACAGTTATTTGATTTCATATATCTTTACTACTTTAGACAATATGAGCATAATTTCTTCCAATAACATAGCTAAAAAGTGTGCTCATCATCTTCTGAGAAGTATATAGAGGAAAGAAAATTCATCTTCTCAGCTAAACATGTTTTCTATTTTTTTTTTTCAGATACGCCTCTTTGCGGTAACCTTGACAATTACAATAGTCTAGCAGTTTGAAGATACGCCTTTCACTCCATATGGAATAAAATTAGATTAAATAAAAAAACACTTTGTTCTCAGATGTAAATAATACTCAAGCAACTCAAGGATAATACAGAACAAAAATAAGAAGATGATTTCAAACAAAAACATTTATGGCTGGTCCTCATGAGGTAGTGAATCATAAAAACGTTGATGTTCTGGTAGAGTGATGGAAGGCCTATCGCCCTGGCAAAGTGAGGTCAAATCATTATATTTTTTTTTTGGGATTTTTCATAGGTCGCTATTCAGAGGAGACAGCTCTTTTTTTAAAATATCGGAAACATTTCTTTTCAAGGTTATGGACCTGTAGTGTGTTGGCTTATGGCTAGTCTTGAAATAGATTTTGTTGCAATTATCACTTGTCACTTTGAATTCCATCATATTTTTCCAATTCACATCCATGTCTTTATCATCTTTTCGAATAGATAATACTCTTAAGTCTGATGCGAGTTTTTTGAGGTCAAAAAAATTACGATAGTCTAAGGGACGAACCTTATATGGCTGTTTCTTCCTTGCTAATGCATAGACTGGCAATAACTGGCTCGGCACAATAATTTCACCTGCATTTTTCAAAGCGTAACTATTGCACTATGTGCTGAATCTCTTTAACATTTGAGCAATTACTGACGAGATATAAAAGAGTGGTAGCCATTATGGAATTCTTATTTTGGCCACTACAACCATCAGCAAATAAGTCAACAGTATTGTAGCCTTGTTTGTCTTTTTCGGAAATAAATAAATAAACAGCAGTCGATATTTCCGAGCTACCTCGTTTATTTTCAGTCTCACTCCATGTATAACAAAAACATTCTCGAGATGCCACTTCATACATAGTTAGATTGTAGACAGCAAGCCGTGTTTTATAAAATACGGAACAATGATTAGAAACTGGTAAGTATATAACTTGTTGGAGATCAAATGTAGCACCTTTGTATCATTTTTAGCTTTTTCTTTGCAGCTATTCTTTATTTCTCTTACCGTTTCCTTTTCTAAAATGTGGGCCAAGTACTCCTTTTCCAAATTAGCCTTTACTTCTTCCGATCCTTCTCTGTAACACTTGCAAAGGCCACATTGTATTTTTTTTGGTTTGTGAAATGAGAGGCTCATGGATCTGAAAATTTTTCTATACAAAGAAAAACTTCCCTTTGTTTGTTGGTCTTCCAGTTTGTACATGTGGTACATTGTACTCAGAGATAAATCTTCATGTAGGTATTGTTTAGTTGAGGACTTCCGGCAGTAATGTGACTCTACTCTGGGGAACTTATTTATGTGCTCTATGATGCTTTTTCTAATGACTATGTCTCTTGATGATTGTAACTCCCGTCGACCTCCACGATTTTCTTTTTCTAGCACACTCGTTGTTCTATTCAATTTCTTTACTGCGGTTCTGCAAACTTTCTCACTTATCCCAAGGGTCCCAAGGAACATTTTTTTACAACCTAATTGTCGGATACCTTCTAGAGGTAAGAAAAAATAATGTGTTTGCTTACGGCGTGGATCATTGCTATTTGTAGTTCTTTGTTGTTGGAGGTCACCAAGACTATAAAACTGTGAGAATATCATTGTTCTTAAAGGACTGCTGAACAAATAACACATCCTTTTCCTTTTCTTACACATTTGTATATTGCAGATTCCCTTAAGTGCTTTCTCCTTCACAATTTTCTTAGTTACAGGCGAAATATATGTTTCGCCTTGATTCCTCAACGTTTTTGCAATTCTTCTTTTATCTTCTCTGACTTTTTTTTCCTATCACCTTCTGCCTGGGAAAAAATCTTCAGGGCGCCTCTCTTCCTGTTTCTCTTTGCTAAGTACACTGCTCTGTACTGTCCTGTGTCCGTCCTGGCAGGATAGGGTATCATCTTCAAAATGCTTCCAACCTAGCAAAATTGAGCATTGAAAGCTGGAACTGAACACATCTCCTTTACAGCTTTTAACTTCACAAGTTTGATGATAGTCCGGATCTTCCGGATTATAAATCTCGACTGCAGCAAAGGTGTGACTCAATTCGGACAAAACATCATATGTATTCTGTAAGTCAAAAGGACATATCTTAGTTACCACTGAGAGAGTAGCAAAAAATGGACACCGCATGTAGGCGTATCTTCATTTACGCCTATTTGCGGTGTATTGTATTTCATTTCTGAGAGATACGTCGTTTAGTTTTATGCTGATATCTCTATGAGCGAACTACTTAGAGTTACGCCACTTTGCGGGATTGAAGATATGCTATACCTTGTTGATTTGAATCCGTTAACTCGAATTTGATTTTTTGTCAGATACGCCTGTCTGCGGTATGGACGACGATATATTTCAGTTACTACTTTTCAATTCTTATATTTTATATAACAAGCACTCTCAAAAGCGGCTATCTTATTATGATTTTCGTATGGCTGTTCTTGAAAAAATTCTTCCTCAACCACAAAATACCAATCCTAAACCTGCAAAGCAAACTACACATCATTTACTGGAGAAAATTCAAACTAGAAATAAAGATGGTAGAACTATGCGAAAGCGTTGCAAAGTGTGTTGGCAGAATAAAATCATTGTATCAAATGCCCTGATGCCCCAGGATTGTGTGTTGGAAGATGCTTCGAAGAATATCATCGGGCTTAGTTTTGTTATCATAAACATTTATTCAGGTTTACCTGTATTTAAAATTCTTTCAGATATCAATACGTTTATCAATATGTAACTTGCAGTTTGCTTTGCATAAAATAGTTTTTTGTATCCGCACTAGAGTTTTGCGTTTAATTTCCTAATATATATGTGTGTGTATGAAATGTTGTTCTATTTTAGTTAGGCGTATTTTAGCTGTTTTATTTGACGATCTGTATTACAATAAATATTTTTATGACTTACCAGTGCGTCATGAGCATACTGGACCAAAGTTGGGTGTAGTGTGTGCTTGACGCACCAGTGCGCCATATAAAAAAAATACTGAAGGGAGGGCTTTTATTACATTCTAATTATGTTGAAGACATATCAGCAATATTTTTATAGTAATGTTCAAAAAAAAATTTTTCGTCCCTCCGTGAAGTTTTTGATTAACATATAGCACTGAACGTGTTAAACCACCTCCATTATGATGTAATAAGCTGAAAAAGAATCCTTCCCATTCATTTTCAAAGCACATACATACAAATAGGTGCTAGATCCACCCAGTTCTCCGAGAAATGTAAAATGCCGTGAGGTAAAGCCACTCGGCGTGTGTGTCGGCTGCGTGTTGCATTTGAGTAGAAAAGGGCATTTCCTAGTGCGCGAGCGGCTCGGCATGGCGTCTGGGGAAATGCATTTGTTGCTGTCAGGAAAGTAAGTCGAGCTAAAGCAGCTCAGAGGCGCCTCCGGACCTTTTAAAATGCAAATCAGAAGGATGTTAGTCGGCTGCATCGAGAAGGGCGGAGGACCATAGATCACGGAGACAGATGACTAGAGTGGGTCAGGACATACAACGAACTATACCGGGTGTTTCCGATTCGACCCTCACCGTTGAGATTTCGGAAACGATAAGAGAAATGAAGTTGCTTAAATGGGAGCAAAGTTGCGTATTTTGATAGCTAAGAAAATGTCGTTTTCGAAAATCAAAGTACTTCCGGAGAAAAACGAATATTTCCAAAATTGTTGTAATGTTGTCCTGACTTCTTTTGAAGTGGGATTTCAAAATAAATTGTACATAAACATTGCCATTTTTACTCAACAAGATAATGTGCTCTACATTTTATTATGACTATTAGTATATTCTCCTCCAGCGTCAACTTTATTTTATCATATGTACGCCACGTTAGATTTTTACTCAGATCAATAGATTTTTCAGTTCTGATAGAATTATATAAAATGTCATACATGAACATTGCCGAACCTTAGTTATTCAAAAAAAATAGAATTTCCTAG